GGCTATTGCTGAACTAGAATTTGGCCATGCTAATCATGCTTCGAGAGCCGAAAAATCATGGAAACATATTGCAAGTTCACTTCAGTTTATAGTGGGATGTAACGTGGAGATTCGGATTAACCATTCTGATACTGGTTCAGTCTCCAAGTTTGCAAAAGTAAGAAAACTATCTTGCAGCTTGTTTAGTTGTTCACACAGGCTGTACCCGAAATCGAGATCGTCTACGAAAAGTAGAAGTGATTCTGAGGTATCAAAGAATGTATACCAAAAACCTGGGATAAGTGACGGACCTATTTTATCTTGCTATTCGGGTCATGGGTTTGAGATACCTCACAACGATTCTTGTGTAAGGGAAGTTGTCACTGCTTTCAGAAACAGTGAAGGTAACATCCTGAGCAGTGGGGCAACCCCATCGTGTGAACCATCACGAGATGATACATCTCCGACCGCTGTATATGGAGTTTATTCTTCCAAAGGGGAAGGAAGAGACTATGAATGCCGGATTCTTCCCGTTCATGAGCCTGATTATCTACCAAACTGTTTCCCCAGAGCATTGAGGCCTAAGAAAAAGGTGCATTTGTCCGACAGTACTAAAATGATTTCGTCAGGCGACCAAGAAGGAAACAAACTTGCTTGATCTATTCCCGGGGTGTCATCTTTCAAGAACCCCCTCTGCTCCAATGAATCCTATGTTTTATATGGCTCTGACAACGAGGATAGGTAAGAATGTGTAGAAATGTTACTTGTTTCTTTTTTGAAAGATGAATGATGGTATTTACTTATATCGTTATGCATTTTGGCAGATTGAGGCCGATCTCTGACGTGCATTGCTGCAGAAACCCTGCATTTCCCTTTAAGAAGGTAATGACACTAACGTTATCGAAGTTTCTTCACGACATTCTAGCCTAAATCCAGTTCGAACAATTACATTCTAACCTATGAATACTGCAGCGGTCTCAACGTCGTCGTGCACACTTCGTGGATTGGGTTTTTCCTTGCTCCACTGCCACATGACATTTGCAGCGAGTTTGTGGATGATTCTTAGATAGCTTCAAGGTACTATATGTCTCATTGTCTTGCCATTTTTGCATGTAAATTATATAAAACAAAATCTTGATCATACATGTAAGAAGAGAGCATAGACAGGGAAAGTCCTATGTGTAAGGCCAAAAACAGTTTATGTCTGGCTGTCTCGTGCCATGTTCCAACCCAATGTTTCATTGAAGATGATTTAACAATCATAACATTAGCTTAATTTGTTTTTGTTTCCAAATGAAAACTGATTATAATCCTGGAATTGAATTGCATATGCCGAGGTTCAAATTTTTATACATTTTCAAGGAAAGACAAAAAAGATACTACAGGTTACAATAGGAAAACATCCTCCAACATCATCCACAACTGACGCCATTGAACAAAAGAATGATTGAGAACATGATGGATCCTACTAGTACATAGATAAACGTTGGCCAACATGGATAACAATAAATGGAACAATCCTGTTGACATCTATGGTTCTAGTACCTGTAATGAGGAGGTTTATAAGGACCTTCAACGGGGACATTGATGTATGCAGCTTGGTGAGGAGTTAGCTTGGTGAGTTTAGCTCCAAGCTTCCCGAGATGAAGTGCCGCAACGTTGTTGTGCAAGTGCTTTTTTTCTCATACTTGCCTGTTACTTTTTCCTTCCACAGCTCAAGCTACGCAATCACTTGGTTCGTGAACGAGCAAGACATCACGAAGCTGCGGTGTCCAGTTGCACAACCCAAATTCACGAGTCGTCCTTCTGCAAGCACAATGATTCCCCTATTAGTCTCAGGGGAAGATCCATCGATCGGTTTGAGGCTTGATCGTAATCCGTTTGATACCTGGGTAAGTCTCGAGACCAAGCATATCAATCTCATTATCAAAATGGCCGATGTTGCAGACAATTGCATTGTTCTTCATCTGCTTCATATGACTAACCATAATAACATCCTTATTTCCATCTGCTTCATATGACTCACCATAATAACATCCTTATTTCCAGTGGTGGTCACGAAAATGACCGCCCGAAACTGGAATACCCTCCATTAGAGTTTGAAGAGCACAAATGGGATCGATCTCTGTCACAATCACATGAGCTCCAGCTGCCTTAAGAGCAGCCGCACAACCCTTTCCAACATCTCCATAACCAAAAACAACCGCAGTTTTTCCAGCAATCATGACATCAGTTGCTCTCATAAGACCATCAGGCAACGAATGTCGACATCCATACAAGTTTTCGAACTGCATTGAACACAAAACCCAAACTTTCTTATGCTTAAAATACATAATTAACTGAAGTTCAAGAATCAAAACAAATGAAAATTTACTGTCTCTCAGCTCATCAAAAGTTCTGATAAACCCTTTACCTATCTCTTGGTAACAGAATCATTGACATTAATGGCGGGGAATAGAAGGGTGTTATTAGCTTGCATTCGGTATAATCTTTTAACTCCACTGGAAGTTTCTTCCGAAACTTTAACTAATCTAATCCCTCATCCTTCTAAATCTTTTGGGGTCAACCAATAATCCTTCTTTGATAATACTCAAAACGATTCGAAACTCGGAATTTTCAGTCTCATTTGGGTCAACCAATAATCCTTCTTTGATAATACTCAAAAAGATAACTAATTTAATGAATTAAGCTATCAACATCAAAATATAGGTACAAAGAGACTCATTATTTTTTTTTCATTAAAAAAGGTTCATTTTGTTTCTTGCTTGTCATATTTTCATGGGACAAACATTTTTTCTTTAATTTAATTTTGATTGTACCGTCTTTATCTAAAATTTTAATTAATATTTGATAAAATTTGAATGAAAGATTAAGTCTAAAAATGACTTTGAAGAGAAAAAAATATTAGCTCGATTTAGTTTAAATATTTAGGGGTCGAGTATGACTTAACTTGTTGTTCGATTTATGATATTTATATATTATGTAATTTTTATCTCATATATATATAATTATAATATGAAAATTAGGTTGGTTGGGTTTAAATATTCACGGATCGACTATTTTTGTGTCTAGTAAAAAATGAGATATAAATGAATTCTTATTTATTAAAAATTTAAAAATAAAACGAATCTATTTAGGTGACCAAAACTAAACAAAAACTTAAGTTTAGTGATGATTTTGAGAGAAAAAATAGTTGAGTGACCAAAACAGAACTGTGAAAATAATTAAGTGGCTAAATATGTAATTTACCCTTGTTATTTTTAACAGAGTTTATGGTTTGTAGCAAACGAGGTAACTATTTAAACTTCAAGGGGGCAAAACGTCCCCAAAAATATTTTAGAAGGCAACTCAGTACAAATGACATACTTTAGGGGGAATGATGCATTTAAACCAAAAAAATTTATAGAAAATAATGTAATTAATATTTTATTTTAAATAATTTACCTTTTATTTTTTTATTAATTTATAATTATATATTGAGTCCTTTAGAATTTTTAATATTTATAAATTAAATTAATGATGCTCTTCGTTAGAGGAACTTAGCGATGCTCGTCGAACGTTGTAGAATTTTCCTTATTTTACACAAGAAATCTTATAAAATTAGGTTTCTTTGTGACTAGGTATTTCACCCCATAACTGAGATAATATGTCTTGGCCTTTAAAATTAAGAGATAAAATTATTTTAGAAACATGTAATTTTTGTTGAGATTTATATTACATAGACGAGTTTTGTAAGAATAAAATGAGAGTAAGTTGGGACACTTCAAGTTTCGATATAGATATCAAATTTTAGAATAAATTAGATATAATCTATTTATATATTTTATGAACTCAATATTCATAAAAAATTATTATTCTTAAAATCTATAAATATAATAAAATTGATCACGTTAAATCTCAACTAATGAAACATTCAAGCTTTCAAATTAATTTGATTCCTCCCTCCCCAAATTTTCCTGTAGACAAGCTCTCTGTTCGCTTTTTTATTTATTTTATGGAATTTATCCATGTTTAGCTCACATTTGAATTAGTCATTTTTTTAGTCAACGATGGCTGATAATGGTTGGTAAGTAGTTATACATGGTGAGAATTTGATCAAATTTTGAGATCAATTTAATATTTAAAATTCATGATGAAATTAATATTTTATTTAAAGTTTAAGATTCATATCAGAAATTAATCATTTTTAATGTGTTACGTCATCAAAATGACATGAATTAACGATTAAATGACTATAATGTAACTAATTGATAACGTAAATGATCCAGACAACTTTTTGAAAACCAGAAATAAGAAACTAGACACAAATGAAATCAAGGTGACCAAACTTATAATTTACCCTTACAAAAAGTTTCACGTGGTAGAGAGGCACCTTATCAAAAGTAAAATATATGCAAAAATATTCGATCCGATCTACTAATTCAGTAATCTGATTTAAAAATTCGGATGTTTGATTCGTTTTTGAGTTTCGGATTCAATATCTAAATTTTTTTGGATAACCTGATTAAGTATGGATGGGATAAATTATAATTTAGGATTTTCGAAAATTCAAAAAAAATGAACTTTTAAAATTTAAATACCTATTAACCCAATAAATGAGTAAAATACTATTAAAATTATAACTTAATAAAAAAAATAAGATATTTAATTATTTATTATGAGTGAATAATTAAATATAAGATATTTAATTATTTATTATGAGTGAATAATTAAATATATATATATATATATATATATATAATAGGAGTATCGGATAAATTACATTAAATTACAAAATTTAAAATTAATCTTTTTGTCAAATTGAATTTTATGTTCAAATCTAAATATCCATATATTCGATTTTTCTAGATCAGATTACTATTTTAAATATCCACAATTTTCGATTCAGATCTGATATCCAAATTTGGACACTAATAAATATAATAGATTGATATATTTACTGGATAGTCGATACTCACCGTTTTCATTGGACTGGTAAATCTAAAAAGTCAAGAGCAACCAACCCTAACTCCTAACATTTCCAAGTTTCTGACCTTCTTATTTCCCCCCTCCTTTTATCAGTCTCATCACCAGCAGTGGCGGCGGAAACGGCGACACCTCAACTCAGACTCTTCAGTCCTCACCACCACACCGGCAGCTTTCTGCTTCAAACTAGAACCAGATCACCGGTCGTCTAGTTTTACGCAATACTCGCTAGAATCAGAACCGAAACTTCCGCTTCTATTACCAACAAAGAAAAGGGCTATTGAATATTGGATTATTTAACCTCCATCTTGAATCGTAGGTAATCTTCTTCAACTTTCTTCTATTATTTTTCGTTGTTGCTTTTGAATTTTCAGCTTTCGGCTCTCTTGTTTTCAATTGAGTTCATGATATATTGAACCTTTTGATTGACTCGCGTCGGGTCCTTGATTGGTTTTGAATGAACAAGCTGACCCCTGGCTTTATAGTTTGATTGTTGAAGTCGTGAAAAATGAACCCAGTTTTATATTAGAAGAGCTCTTGGTTCAAGATTATGTAGAGAAAACTAATGGACGGACTTGAGTCTTATAGGACCTAATCGAAATGACTTAACATCGGTCTGTTGGGTCAGTTAAGTTGGCTGATCCGATTTTTTCTCATGTTTCTTCAAGTATGAAAAATAGAAGGTTTATATTACAGATAAGTACCTAAAGTATACCATCTTTGCTATTCAAAATAATTACTTAAAGTTGTCTATTTGGTCTAAATAGATATATAAAGAGTTTTTTTAGTCAAAATAGCTTCATAAAGTATTCGATTATTTTCATATGTTTTAATAAGTTGACATGCTGCATTAGTTAAAGAATACTTTAGGTACTTAAATGGAAACTATAGTATATTTAAGTGCCTATTTTAACTAAAAAATATTTTAAGTATTTATTTTGACCAAAATGATAACTTTAGACACTTACTTTGACCAAAAAATACGTTAGGTACTAGCTGAAAAGGATGGTATACTTTAGGTACTTATTTGTGATATAAGACAAAATAAAACATGAACAGAAGTAGGTTTGGATTTTGGTTAAAAAATTATGTCATATATTTATTATATTTTGTAAAAGTAATTTAAAAATTTAAAATAGTATTTGTGTAAATTAAACTTAAATGTCAGTTAACCTAGTTTGATAGCTTACTGACTTAACCTATTTTAACCTCCTAAGAAAACTGAATTAACTATCAGAACTGAGTAGGCCAAACTGATTTGACTGAAGATTATGAAATAAGTCAGTTTGAACGGACTTTTGTTTACCTCTACTGTAGCATTATAGGTCTTTATGCTTTTGAAAGAAGACAATGACTTATAGTCTCCAGCTCAAAGGAAAAAAAAGCTTATAATCTTGATAATGAGCTTTGAAATGCTTTAATGCCATAAATCAGCCTAACCAAGAAAGAGGGAATCAGAGTGCTTAATGAATGCATAAGTTGTGGTTGTAGTTTAGCACTTATTTTAACCTTTTTTATTTAATCTGCGAGAGTTAATTGAATTTTCTGTTATTTCTTTGTTTCTTTTAATACCCTTTTGCTGCTCATCAATAGTTCTTTTATTATTTGTTCCCTAATTGAACGTTTGTTCTAGCTAAAACAGCTCAATTTAAGATGAAATAATATCTTGCCTCTTTTTACTTTTAACTTTTTAGTTTCCTTTGACATTTTATATGGTATTTAGAATTGGTGAAGGGCAAATGGCGTCAGGCGAGGGATTTCTTACTGATGAACAAAGGGAAATGCTGAAAATAGCGAGTCAGAATGTAGAGACTGCTTTACCATCTCCAAGATTGTCATCATCCCCGAAATCTCCAACGTCTTTGCTTTTGGATCATCAATTAAAGGTTCATGCTGGTGGCAAGGCGCCTACTGGTGGTATTGCTGTGAGGCATGTCCGTCGGTCTCACTCAGGAAAGTGCCTTCGTGTAAAGAAGGGTGAGCCTTGTTATTCTCTACATGGTTCAATTCAACGCATTATTTCTTCTTCTCACCTCTTTTGGTATTTGGTTATACTTGCTATTTTTGAAATTTCTATTTGCTTTATAACTGACTTGTTCATCTTGGAACGGTTGTTGAACGAAAAATGATCAGTCAGACAACAAATGTTCTTTCGGTTGATCCTTTATTCCTAATATAACTATATCATCTTTAATCAATATCACCTTGTTGCTCTTCTAATTTATTGTGCTTAAATTTTCATAGGTTTAGCACATCCAGTTAGGTTCATAAATCTATAATTTATTTTTCATTTAAATAAGATGATGGAATCACAATACTTTTGGTTTGGTTCGAGTTTTTTTTAGTTGGTCTTTGCTTTGTAACTCACAGGGTAAATGTGTGGGGTTAAGATCCAATCCATTATTTTTTCCCATTACTTTCCACAACATGAATCATCATCATTCATATGTGTAGGACCTACTCATGAATTATTTAACTCAAACTTATGAATGGTGATTATTGTATTGAATACTAATGAATAAAAAAAGTAATGGAAGAGAGCTTGATCCATATTTATTAACCTGCAGCAACATTTTGTGCATAAACATATTCGATGGATAATTGATAATCAAAATCATATATCATTTTGTTTTCTGCTTCTGCCAGGTTTGGGCTTTAAATTAGCCAATTCTGTTGCTTTGCATCTGCATTTTTGTCAAAAAATTACCTTTAAATGTAGAAGAGTGTACTACAGAGTTGTTATCTGTTTGTTCTTACCAATAAGTTCTTTTTCCCATTTATAATGTTAAACAGATGGTGCTGGTGGTAAGGGTACATGGGGGAAACTCCTTGATACAGATGGGGACTCACATATTGATCGGAATGATCCCAACTATGACAGTGGAGAGGTACTTGCACCTTTTTGTCTTTATTTGGCTTTTACACACTTGCACTTGACAATTTTTCCTAGTAAACCGCTCTTGTTTATAGGGTCTGTCAATGCAACTTGTACCTGTGGCATACTTGTTTGTTATAAATTTTCTTGGTGCTTAATTTCTTTGCCCTTACTTTTTCCAGGAACCATATCAACTTGTTGGGTCAACCATTTCTGATCCCCTAGATGATTACAAAAAAGCTGTTGTTTTGATTATAGAAGAATATTTTAGCACCAGTGATGTGGAATTGGCTGCATCTGACCTTAAAGATCTTGGCTCTAATGATTATCATCCTTATTTCATTAAAAGGCTTGTCTCCACGGCCATGGACAGGCATGATAAAGAGAAGGAAATGGCCTCAGTTCTGCTTTCTTCACTTTATGCTGATGTCATCAGCCCACCCCATATTCGGGATGGTTTTGTGATGCTTCTCGAATCTGCTGATGACCTTGCTGTGGATATACTGGATGCAGTTGATATCCTTGCTCTGTTCATATCTCGTGCTGTGGTCGATGAGATACTGCCTCTGGCTTTCATCACAAGGGCAAAGAAGACACTTGCTGAATCTTCCAAGGGATATCAGGTTCTCCAAACTGCTGAGAAGAGCTATCTCTCAGCTCCCCACCATGCCGAACTTTTGGAAAGGAGGTGGGGTGGTAGCACTCATGTTACAGTTGAGGAAATGAAGAAAAAGATTGCTGATCTTTTAAGGGAGTATGTCGAGAGTGGTGATACGTTTGAGGCATGTAGGTGTGTTAGGGAGTTAGGTGTTTCATTCTTTCATCATGAGGTTGTTAAGAGAGCATTGGTTCTAGCTATGGAAATTCAAACAGCTGAACCACTTATGCTGAAACTCTTGAAGGAAGCAGCTGAGGAAGGGTTGATAAGTTCAAGTCAAATGGTGAAAGGCTTTTCTCGGTTAGCAGAGAGTCTTGATGATATTGCTCTAGATATTCCGTCTGCAAAAACATTGTTTCAGTCAATTGTTCTCAAAGCTATTTCTCAAGGATGGCTTGATGCATCATTCACAAAATCCTCTTATGATGATGGAGAGACTCTAAATGAAGACAAAAAATTGAGCCAGTACAAGAAGGAGATTGTAACTATAATTCACGAGTATTTTCTCTCTGATGATATTCCTGAACTCATTCAAAGTCTTGAAGATCTAGGGTTGCCTGAATTTAATTTGATTTTCCTAAAGAAGCTTATCACTCTTGCCATGGACAGGAAGAACAGGGAGAAAGAAATGGCTTCTGTTTTGCTCTCTGCTCTACACATCGAGATTTTTTCTACGGAAGATATCGTGAATGGTTTTGTCATGCTTCTTGAGTCAGCAGAAGACACTGCCTTAGATATTCTGGATGCCTCTAATGAGCTTGCTCTTTTCTTGTCTAGGGCAGTCATTGATGATGTGTTGGTTCCACTGAATCTTGAAGAGATAACCAGCAAGCTGCCTCCAAATTGCAGTGGAAGTGAGACTCTGAGGATGGCTCGATCACTTATAACTGCACGTCATGCTGGGGAGAGGCTCCTTAGGTGCTGGGGAGGTGGAACTGGCTGGGCCGTGGAGGATGCGAAAGACAAGATAATGAAACTCCTGGAGGAGTATGAAAGTGGGGGCGTTGTGGCTGAAGCTTGTCAGTGTATCCGTGACCTTGGAATGCCGTTCTTCAACCATGAGGTGGTGAAGAAAGCACTGGTGATGGCCATGGAGAAGAAAAACGATAGGATGCTGGACCTGCTGCAGGTGTGTTTCAATGAAGCTCTAATCACTATCAACCAGATGACCAAAGGCTTCACCAGGGTCAAAGATGGACTCGATGACCTAGCTCTGGACTTTCCAAATGCCAAGGAAAAATTCAGTTTCTATATGGGGTTTGCCCAAAAGAAAGGTTGGCTACTACCGTCGTTCGGGTCTTCTACAACCGAATCACTGCCCACCGCCGCAGCCTCTTGAGAAGGAAACATTCAAATCTCGAGTTTCTCATGTATGGTGTTGAGGCTCCAGTACTTGTTTGTTCTTAGCAGTCATCCATAGCAGATGAGATAGATAGGATTAGATGTGGGATGTTTGGATTCCTTATGATGTTTAATTTTAATGGTGTCATCTGATGGAGATTCTTATGATCCCAGTCGGAGCTAACCATTGTATAAAGTTGGTTGTATTTCTTTTAAACTGAAATAGCTTCAAGCTCATGTCACAACCAGCAGCATGTTAGGTGTTGCTTGCAATGTATGGTGGTTAGAATGGTGCTATTTACTTCCTCCTGAACATATAATGTGTTTTTGTTCTAGCAATTTCAGTTTTATCTGTAATTTTATGTGTGATCCAATTTCTTCACCCTTTGTATAAGAGGCTTGAGATAAGCTAAAAAAATATGTCCACTTTAACAATCTTTTAATTTACTACTTAAAAATCTTTTTATTTGGGGTGAGGGATATAGTTTATAACCATTGCTTCCATCCTCGTTGAGGAGTAGGTTTAAAGTGCGCTACTTCATCTTTACTTGTTTTTGGGGAGTTATTAAGAACCATCAGAATTCATCATGAATTAAGCAAAGTGCATAAAAAGCATACTTATCACATGGATAATTTATCGCGAACTATGCATGCTTTCAAGCTAAACTCACCTGGTTAATCATGGATTGATGATAAACATGCTTAATAAATCATGTTGTTAGGGTATATTTTAGATTCGAATGAGTAACATTTTAGATAGATAGAATAGAAATCGTAACGATTTCTATAATAAATCATGTTGTTAGGGTAATTTTTACAGTTAAAACCTACAAAATTATTATGGGTTCAGAACTTTTTTTATTTGAGAGACAAGAATAACATTTTAGATTAGAATTGTTTTTCTTACAGTATATATAGACGAGTAACATTTTAGGTAGAACAATAAATGTTACGATATTTTATAATAAATAATGTTATTAAGGTAACCTTTCTGATAAACCTAAAGAATTATCATAAATTTATTATTTTTTCATTTAAGAAACAAAAGTAACGTTTTTAGTTGAAAACATTCTATTACCGAACATTTAAACTTGAACCAGATAACATTTTAAATTAAAATCAATAACCGTTCAAATCAGTTACATCATTTTTTAGCCGCATACTAGTTGCCACACGCCAGAACCATCGGTCAGTTAGATTTTATGGTAAATCACCTTTATGCCATTCCACACTTTTAAAGATTTCAATTAGATCCAAATTTCATGCTATAAATTTTATATTCAAGCCTTAGACTTTATATTTCAATCAATTAAATTCTATTGTGCTTAGGATTTATATTTTGAATTCAAGTTTAAATTTATATTACTTTTAGAAAACCAAATAATACATGATTGTTTTAAAAATACTAATCAATAGACATCATGAAGGTAACCTTCCTCACGTTATCAACTTCTAAAATCAATTTTTATTGCATATTTAAAAAAATATTTTTTTTTCAAAGAGAATGTAAAAAACTTTTACAGAAGTCTATCATATCTAACTCAAAACCACTAACAATGATTCCATTTATCAAAACAAATACCATTTCCCAATAATCATTTCTCGAGCTTAAAAACAGCCTCAAAATACAATTTATTGGTAAAGCCCTATCCAATTCCTCACAATACCACTTGTAAAGTAAAAAAGAAACCAATATAGAGACGAACATTCAATCGAGAGTTTGAATCATTCGAATAGGCGAATCTTATTTTATAACTAAAAATTAACTTGAACTGACAAATCCTGTTTTATTACTTAAAGTTGACTTAAGATTTTCTCAAATCAAGTCGGATTTATGAAATTTGAGTCAAATTTTTAAATTTCTGTTTAAACTTGATTGTAAATATATATTTTCCATAAGTTTTTTCACATGTGATATACACATATCATTCAGAGTCGGGAGAATCGACTCAAACTTCAGTCCACTAATTACTAGAAATTTTAAATCATTAGAGTTACTTTTCAAGTTATCAGAGTCGTAATTTACAACTAAATTTGAACTTGAAAATTTTTTGAGACAAATTTATAACTCAAAGTTAGTTTGGGTCGAGTTTTTATGAACCAAGTCGAGTAAAAAAAAATCGGTTTTTAGAGTTGAGTTTTACTCAACTCTATTAAGAGAGTACCAATATGAAAAATTCAAGAATAAAAGGATTGTAGTTTATACGTATAATCAAATAAAAAATACACGAGAAAACTAATCTCATTGACAGGAAACTACAAAAACAAATCAGTGGGCATTCAAATGTAAAGGTGGTGTAGAAATCATGTCTCCACATTAGCTTTGTTTCCTGCAAGGATGAGAGAAATCTCCAGCCCACGGCTAAAGGCTTGGTTAAAGAGAAGGCGAGACTGGAATGTCGAGATGAATGGGAACCATGACAACACTGCTACCGGTGCAAATATGATTGTCCCCATTCCGGCATCGTAAAATCTTGCAATTTCTCGCACTGAATCCCATAATCCCAAACTCCTCACTACATTCTTCCATGTCACAGCCAACTGCGCGAAAGCATCACAGATTTGGATCCATGATTGTTAGACACAATGTAACACCATATTGTAGACTCATTTGAACTCGAAAAAGAAATGGAGAAGCAAGCAAATGAAATTAACTATCAGCAAAGATATAGACTGGTTCCTGCATCTAGGGAACAAGAACAGCCCACAAGATAAGCTAGCGAACAAAGGCCACCAAAATCCGTATAAATTAGAAACAAAGGACAAACTATTAGCGGGTGTAATCGAGTCAAACAAAGATCAAACTGCTTGAACTCGCTCGTTGAGGCTCATCTACCAAAATGAACGACTTTCATGCTTGACTCAGCAAACAATAATTACCGAGATAAATTTGAGTATCAGCTACGAGGATTTTGTATATTCCCGGAAAAGGTCACACAGTGCCATTGTTAACAATAATTACTTCTATATGTTCAATCAAGAGAAATATATCCAAAGCAGGAAAATTAGTTAGTTACTTGCACATAATATAGTCCATCCAGTTGGAATGAAAGCAAGGGTGCTTGCAAATAAGTCTGCAATTGATAAGCTGGTAAAGGCAACGACAAGGCAAAGGGCAACAACAAGTCCGATGGATATAACCCCTTGCATAAATCGCATCACCAGCTTTAAGTCATGGGACTTCTTAGGGCTGTAGCTGAGTATCTGCAAGCCAATAGATGATCAACAAGACACCGTAAACAAAAGGCAGTTACATTGGATATTTTTTTTCAGGGGAAGTGTGCGTTCGGACTGTTGAAAAGTTTGACCTCCCTCAAATGATAAATGGTACTGACCTTGAACAGGAGGACAAATCCAACCAAGACAATCCAGGAAAATCCATAATGCTGGAAAGAAAAATCAAACCATCAAGAAGTTATAATAAGAACATTCTAGTCCAAAAATATGAATTTCTTGAATAAATGTCTGAATAATGATTTGCATATGCATAATACAAAAACTGGCACAAGCAATCAGACAGTTCATTTTTTTTATAGGAATAATAGGCCTCATTAAACAGCTCCCTCTTAGTTAACTCTAGAAAAGAGTAACTAGAAGGAGGAAAAGAGTGCCTTAATTTATTGAATATAGAACTATTACAAAACAGTACACCAATACATAGAGGGTATCCTAATAAAACTGAAATCCATAAAGCACCCTATAGAAATACCCTTACAATTACCCGATCCCATCCTTAGCTAATTTATCTGCTTCCCAATTACAACCCCTAGGAATCCATCGAATAATAACCGCCCTCTCTTGAACTAAGGACACAATATCCAAAACAATGGAATTGAAAAACTGGGAACAGAATTAGGCAGTAATATCCAGTCAACTGCAAATTTGCAGTCACTTTCAAGGATCAGACAGTTCATTGATTATATGAAACTGTTTCACTGGAACTACTTACTATCTCCACACAATTGTGTTAGTTCCATAAAGCACCCTATAGAAATACCCTTACAATTACCCGATCCCATCCTTAGCTAATTTATCTGCTTCCCAATTACAACCCCTAGGAATCCATCGAATAATAACCGCCCTCTCTTGAACTAAGGACACAATATCCAAAACAATGGAATTGAAAAAACTGGGAACAGAATTAGGCAGTAATATCCAGTCAACTGCAAATTTGCAGTCACTTTCAAGGATCAGACAGTTCATTGATTATATGAAACTGTTTCACTGGAACTACTTACTTTCTCCACACAATTGTGGTAGTTCCATTCATCCAATGTGGCTCGATTATAATTACTACATGCATGTGCAAAAAATCTATCCTGGAAACTTCCATCCACAAGTTTTATGCCATGTTATTATCCTTTCGCATCCTTCTAAGCAGTGTTTTTATTTTGTGGTACACTTCATGGGTAAAGGGTATTCTAGGCAATCTCAAGTCGAAGGCAACAAAGCAACATACAATTCATACGACGCATGGCTTTTTGTAGATAGTTTTTGGTAGGACTCTTACAATAGCTTCTGTTTTGGGTACGTCTTTTTCTGTTTGATATGAATTTATTATTGCAATAAGCAAAACAAAGGAAACAAAATTTTATCAAACCCTAAAGAGATTTGGTTCTCTCTAATAACTCCTAAGGTTTCAGCTCCCTTTGATGACCTCGAGTAAATTAACAGAACAGGCTAAACAAACAAGAAGGGAAAAGGTCTGATATTCACATCCTCAACCTCAAACTCACACTCGTACCATTTTATCTTAGAACATTGGGTGGAAATGATTTGCCAACTGATGAAATGGCACGAAGTAAATATTAATATTGCAAGTAGGGGGAAGTTGCGGGGAAAAGTTTCTCTAACATGCTTCATTAAGTTTTAGAAACAGAGCTGACAAAATGTGAAACAGAAAATTAGAAGGGCAAGAAGCACACCGCAATGGATGTATCTTTTCCAGTAAGATGGAGTTTGTACACAATGCCATACTGAAATATTAAGAATCTCAAACTTAATATCGTCTCTAATATGCGGCCTCTCAGCGTCTGGATATGCATCTGCAGAACAAACACAATATTTTCCGCAATAAGAAACATAAGAGCAACAGCAGTTATCAACGCCTAAAGCTTGTTTGTATACTAAATATTATCCCTCATTAAACATAACTGAGGGTGAAGAAGAGATTCTACCACAGATCACCCTCGGACAATCTAGTTTCATACTACTAAAGAGAGAAAATAACTTGATGTAGAAAAATAAGTTGAATGCAGTGTTATCAAGAGCGCACAACACACTCCAGATGCTGCAACTCTGATA